GGTAGCAGAAGAAGAAAAAATCTTATTATATCTGCCCCTTTTTCTCAAAAATAAATTCAATCAAAAACAATCTTCAGATTACAAAACAAAAAAAAGAAAAACAAAGGTTTAACTCCTTGAGCAACAATTCTTACATTACTTATAAATGTCTCCATGAATTTCCACAACAAGGTAACTGCAGCTCTGAAAGATGAAACTTTCTGTCACGCCTTGTCCTAATCAGACACTTTGACCAAAAGAAGCTCAGTCAGCTGAGTCCAAGCTTAAGTCTCTACATGGTAACTGACTTTGTAGTTACAGCTGCTCTGAAGGTTTTAGTAGCAATGCTTGAAGCATGCTTTTGTCCTCTTAAAAGAGGACAGAGTCGCCTGCACAGGGATAAGCAATCAGGAACACTGTATTACTGCAGGAAGGAGACGTCCTTGGGTAAGGTTCTTAAGAGCCCACTTCTGCAGTGAGGCTGCGCAGCGGTCAACATCAGCAGACTCAGAAAGTTATTTTTGGCACGCCGGCCTCTGCTGAGCAAATCTGATACATTCAACTTATGAAAAGGAGCACTGAGCCAAATCACTGATATATGCCTAGCTTTCCTTAAAGGGGACGTATCATACAAAATCCACTTTTTTAGCCTCTAAATACGTTTTGTTGTGTACTTGAAGTTTCTAGGAGTGCAGAAAATTTGAATTTAGTCTCTCCCAGTGCTGCACTATTATGTCAGAGTATTTGCATTGAAATTTTTAAATAAGGTCTGGACTTACCAACTACAATTTCTTTGTCTTTATTCTCCTCTGGCTCCAACATGTAAGGCTGGATGGAGGAGTCTTCTCCTGTTCCCACCTTTTAGTTCATTTGCAAATACAAAGCTTCTGCGCCGCTATATAGTTGTAAACCCCTCTATCAAACTAGAATGGACCGGTCTGGAAGCTGAAGTTGGGCAGGGTGTGAAGCACCTCGTTTGGATTTAAAGACACAGAGTCAAAACGAGTTGATCTGAGATGCACCTCAGAAAAAGGGGTGAAAGAGGGGCTTGTGGAGTTACAATAAGAATTCAGACCAAGYGTTGCAGTTCCACTTTATATAGACCCCAACTGAATGATTTAAATGTGAAAAAGGATTTAAAAGCATGATATKTCTCTGGTAAATATGAAAGCTCCAATTTGACATAGCAGCATATTGAAGTATAGTACATTACAATAAACMGCTCCTGCTCAGTTTTAGTTCGTTGTGTTCCATTGTACAATAGCTGTATGTCATTTATAAAACTTATAAAGCCTTAGAAGTTAGACTGAAATGTTGCACAATAAAATAATGTGATGTTCATTAAAATAGTTAGATAGCAAGACCATCCAAGTCCCTAAACTTTATAATTTGTTATGTTCGAGCCTGTGGTGGATCATTCAGCAGCTGCGGTGCTCAGCTGTCACTGTGGCTGAGAACAGTCAGCTGGTGTGTGGTTTTTAGAAGCAACAAGACATTGTTCTGCATGAAAGTACCTTGTTTGACAAAATAAAAGTTTGTTTGATGAATGTAGGATTTGTTGACACTTTGAAACTTGGGAACTATTTAATTTTCCATAAGATGATGCGGTGGCATCAACCGGTACGTAAGACACATACACACACTTAACACACACACAGTTCGTACCCCTAGTTGACTCCACTTTCTCACTCCTCTGCTCCCTCCCAACCGCCCTCTGTCTTTCTCTGTCTCTGTCTCTGGATGGTCTCTGGTCCTTCCCTGCATCCCGCCACAGTTGAACAGATTGTGTCTGTATTCCAAGCCGCTTCCAAACAAAAGGCATGGGACCATTTCTCCAAAGCTCAGCGCAAGAACCTGGACATGTGGCGCAAACAAGCAGAGGTTGGTACACTTCGGTTTCATTCTGTTGTCCTCAGAAATTATGGTTAAATAGACATTCTGCCATTTTGTTCCACATGTGTGTCAGTGTAAATCTATTTATTGCTGTTTGCCAGTAGCTTTGTCGTTAAGTATGGCATTATTCCGTTAAAATGAGCTGATGCATTATTTTAATTTACAGTCAGAGTGACGCATAACAGCCAAGTAATCGTAATTTTAGTCAAGCAATGCTACAGAACAGGTGACTGCTTACTGCAGTCAGACACAAAAGTCCAAATGTCTGCCCCCTCCCCTCCCCTCGCC